AAAGAGAGCAGGGACCAGGGCTGGAGCTCCCTCTCTAACACAGGTTGACAAAAGTACTGCCAGGCTAGCATGGTCCCATAGTGACCCTGGCATTGCTGGTCCACCTTTGGCCACGCTGAGTGTTTTGGGGTATCTGGGGGGGTCCTTCCCCATGCACAGCTCTTTGCCTGCCCAGGGCAGGCATTCCTGACAGAAAAAGAGATATTGCAGAAGAAAAAGGTGTTCATTCTGATGAGTATTGCTCTCCCCTTCAGAATCTTGAAATAGGGGATAAATGTTGTCAGGGAAAAATATAACAAACTGTCCTTCCTGCTTGCATCTGTGGGTGACATGTTCTCCCGGGCTGGTTTCTCACTGCAGCAGAGCTCTGTGCTGAAGATGCAGCCAAGAAAAAGCCTTATGAGACACCATATACTAAGAAAGCACACAAAATCATATGACCTGGGTGAGAAAATGGTGTTTTAAGAAGAAAAAGATATCACAAAATCTATAGCACACAGGTATGTCCATTTTTTTTTTAAATTTTTCTTTGTGAAGTCCTCCCTTTTTCCTTGCAGTCCCTAGACTGAGATGAGATCCACCTGGTATTTACCCTGATTGCCAGTGTTAGGTTATGGGATAAACACCATGTTGCCTGCCCACAGAGAAGGTGGTGGGAGGAAGCCCAAATAACACCCTGTCCAAGCTGTCTCCACGCCCATCACAGGAGTTGTCAGAGGCACAAAAGCAGATGGGACCCCAAATTACAGGCTCAGAGGAGGGGACACCCTGGCTGGGCTCTCCTGGGGCCATCTCAGGAGACCCCCAGTCCCATGGGCCATCAGGACAAGGCAGCTGGAGCAGTTCTTCTGAGCACTTCTGATGTGGATGTCCCCATTTCTGGGGCATGTCCAAGGCCATCTGCTGGCGGTCTGTGCCACAACTGGACTGGGACTGTGGCATGTACAGGTGCCAGCAACTTGGAAGACTGGGATCTGGGGGCAGCTACTGGGCAGGCTGCGTGTCTGAGGCTATGTGGGCAGAAAATTTAGGAAATAATACTGCAGCATTTGGCAACGGCACAGCAAATCTCAGTGCCAGCCCTGATGGGAGGGGAAGATGATTTTGCTCTCAGACAAGCCTGATTTCACTCATTCACACTGTCCCTCATGGCCATGTGCACACCAGCACTAAGGTGAGTGGCCGAGTGGCCTATCCAGAAGTCACTGTGTGTCCAAATGGTCTGTCCAGGACACAGTGGGGACAAGGGACACCAGCCCTCGGCTTCCCTCAAGTCTCCTGGTCCACAGTTAGGTTGGTTTTCTGTGCTGGTTTTGGCTGTGCATTTCTGCACCCTTTAGGACCTGACAGCAATGTAAGCTCAGACGCCTCAGTTAATCTCGGCATCCTGGAGTGTGAGCGTTACCAATGTCTTGCAAAAACTCACTGCAGCCCTAAAGTGGATGTGGCAGATGCACTTTTTAGATTTGTGCTCACTGTTGACAACAGGAGACATAACCATCCCCACAGAGAAAAATATTTTCTCTTGTTTGGAGATGGAGAAACACCTTAAAACTAGGTTTTATTTTTTGTTTATGCCTATTTTAGTACTGACACTCCTGCTCTGTTTGAGGTCTTTTCTTGTTTCCAGCTTCTGCTATGTCAGCTGACTTACAAAGCAGGTTCCCTCGGTCCAAGGGCAGGGTCCCACATCTTGGATAACTTTTATTTTTGAGTGTATTGCTCAGCACTTGATTGTCTCAGATCCTACCAGTGAATTTCAAATTTCAAAGCAGAGCCATCAGTGTTCTGGACCTGCTAGGCTTGGCTGGTCCTCAAGTATTTTGGCAGGTCCCATTTCAGTGGAACCAACTGCTGTTCAGGTATAAAATGGGAATCAATAAAAGGATTGTATCCATTTGCACTAGAGCTCTCCTCAGCCCTCACTGCTTTCTGAGTAAAGGTTAGTGATCCCTCACATCCAACCACTTTCTACCTCCTACAGCATCCATCAGTCACACAGAGCCTGCTGTACACCTTCCTCCCCTTGCATTGTCCAGCAATCAATGCTGGTAGTTGCTCCCCCCCACAATTCTCCCCCAGTTAATGCAAGAAACAATGTTATATGCTGTTTCCTACAGAAGCACTGCTGTACTTATAAGTTCATGTAAGAAATCATCTAGACCCCTGCAGAAGTCACATTGCGTGATGCCTCTTGTTGATTTTCAGACAGGCTTTGGAGATAGTCCTTACTGTCATGTAAGTAACTGGGAAGGGGAATCCACATTTCTACTCTGTTTTTTGCCTGCAGTGACCTCCAGCAATGTGTTACCATGCCATCTTCTGTGACTTTGTCCCTCTCAAAGATCAGAGCAACCATCTGCTGTGGTCTCTGTCAGTGACCTATAAACCCAGGCCTGCTTGTGGAAACATGTCTCAGGTGGGTAATCTCAATTATAAACTGCACAGCCTCTTAGAAGAGATCAGCTTAACAGCATTTAACAAGTGTAGCTGGAAACCCAATTCCTTCTCTGAAGGCTAAACTTCTGAACAGCAGATAATTACTGCTCTTCTCCTCTCTTTGATCTTCTATCTTAAGCTATAGAAACAATATGTTGGTGCTTTAAAGTTTAAAATAACTGAATGTCTCTTGGTATGGCTGTTAAATAAATAACATCTTTGTGTTTCCAGATGATGAACCCAAGGCAGAGGGAGCTGGAGATGTGTGTTCCCATTCAGCGGGGCACTGTTTGGTGCCAGGGTCTTGCTCTGGGGATGGTTCAGAACGGTGAAGCTGGTGCTTGCAAAGCCAGCTGTGGGCAGGGGACACGGCCCTGGTTTGGGACACTGCTCTGCTGTCCCTGTGCTGCTGGGCGGTTGCGTGTTCATTACCCGCAAATGATACCAACCCCATACACAGCCCTTGAGTAGGGTAGACCTTGAGGTGCTTTGTTCTCCTCGCTGCTGGGCTAGAGCTGTGAGCTCTGCGGTGCCTGCAGGGTTAGGTGCCAGCGGGGCATCTGCGAAAGGTGTCTCTGGGTGGGAGTGGTGGCGTGGGTGCTGCTGCAGTGCTTGTGGTGCTGGAGGGTCCCTGCAGGGACAGTCTCCTGAAAAATGGGATGGGGGAGGGCCAGACCTGGGTGGCAGAGGCAGGCTGGTGTGTCCTGCCAAGCAGCAGGCAGCAGATGGCAATGTCGCCCTGCGAGAACCACAGGCAGGGAGGGAGGCAGGCAGGCAGGGAGATGCTTGCCGTGTGGGTAGCTTGGGGACAGGGGACAAACTGGGGACCTTGGCAGTGCATTGGGTGCCTGGTAGTGATGCTCCTTGGTCTCCGGCTAGCTCAGCTTCCTGATCCCTGTGGCCACGCAGGCAAGAGAGGCAAGCAAGGGGGCAGGCAGGGGCACCCCTTTATGCCTGCTGCCCTCTTGTCCTACAGAGGCTGCTGTGGGGCTGCCCACACCAGGCTGGTCACAGCTGGAGTAGCCCCAAGATGTAAAATAGCCTAGGCTGGCTCTGGCTAGGCCCTGGGAAGTATAATTTGGACAGCTGGGGAAACTGAGGCAGGGAATGCACCTGTGAATGTGTACTGGAGAGAGACACTATGGAGCTGGTCGGCTGTTGTTTGAGGAATGGGGTGAAGCTGCTCCCACAGCTGAGCCTTGGTAGAGGCTTGGCATGGCCAGGACATGAGCTTCAGCAGGGTGTCATGCCTCCTGTCCCTGACTCACTCCAGTGCCAGTGGGTGTCTTCTGGGTGCAGCAGTCTGTGGGGCTCAGATGGCTGCATCTCCTGCCCGTGCTCAGGTACCGCTCCTATGCCCCACAGAGCCTGGGTGGGATGGAAAGCCAGGCTGTTCCCTGTAGCTGTCACTGCCTGGCTTGGCTGCATCCCGGGGCCATGTGGCCATCCCAGAGCCATACCTCAGGGACTTTGCACGGCTGTGCACTCTCTATCTGATGGGAGGAAAGCCAGTGCTGAAAGCATTTTCTTCTTTTTGCTGAGTGGCTCCATCCTATCCTTTATCAGGCAGGGCTGCTGAGCTCAGGGAAATGGTTGTTGTTTGCCTACTCTGGGCAGGCTCCTGAGGAGTGGCTGTGGGTTTTGCTGACTTCCCCAGGCTAACAACATGCTGGTGACTGCATCAGTGGTACAGAAAATGGGGCTGGCATCAGTCCTGGGTGCAGGTGGGAGGTTCTGGGTGCTGCCACTGCAAGTAACATCAGCAGCCAAGGTACCTCATCGCAAGCCTATGAAGGAGAGGCCAGAAGGTGCTAAGAAATAGTTTTGAGTTGTCAAAAGGTGTACTATGGGTCCCTTTGGCCTCCCCATTGCCCAACTTCACAACGTCATCCTGGTTTGGGATCAAGATATTCCTCAGGGAGTGAGGCACTGAATTGCACTTACTGGGGCCATCCTCCACTCCTTGAGCAGGAACACTTTGAATTGGCTCAGGGAATTGCTGGTGCTAAAAAACAAATCAATTTCTTCCAGCTGAGCACTCCTGATTCAGCATTTCTTGTGCCAGCACTTTACAGCGGGTGTGAGATAACAAGAAGATATCGTGCACAGAGGGGTGGCAGTCGTCCTGGATGGGTATCTCCTGATTAGGTGCAATACAGAGATACCAGCTGTGCACTCTCAGCAAGCAGGCTGGGGCCAGAGGTGGGGGTTGGCAAAAGGGTATGCGGGTCATGGAAATAGGGATAGGTCCTTGTGGTGCCCCTGTCATCAACCCTCAGCTATATCCCCGGCTCCGTGCTAAAGGATGTGAATACCTTGGAAGGTGCTGGGTTTGGGATGCTCTTAAAAAAATTAAGGTTTTATGCCAGAAGGCATCAGGTCTGTGTGGCCTGAGCCTAATTGCTTCCTCTCAGGAGAATTTGTGTGGTTCTATTTTCTATACAGCGGCCAGGCTCCACTGCACCAGTGACTGGCTTTTCAGGGAAGGAGGAACTGATATATCCATGAAACATAACAAACGATGCTCATGAGAGAGAGATCAGACTGAATGAGAGGTCCTGCGAGAGTCACTGAGGTTTTCAAGCTGGGCTCTGCTGTATGTGGTTTCAGATGCTCCTCCCCTCTTAAATTAGGCTTTGGTTTACACAAGGGACTTGACTTTTCACATTATCCCTTAGCTAAGTCACTTTGACTCAACTGGAAGAGCACCAAAGAGACTGAGGCACAATGTGAAGGCGCAGAGGTCTTCTGTGTCCAAGAGGATGGTAAGTGTGGTATGTAACAAGCAGGGACTGATGGCAGAGAGGGCGTGTTGGTACCCTTTGGGACTGGCAGCGCTAGAAAAGCTGTGGCTAGAAATGAGGAGGAAGGAAACCTTGCCTTGGAACCAAGTGCAAAACTGAGCCAGATCCTTCTCCACTTGCTTTGTGTCCTGAGCACCTACAATTCCTGGAAAAATTAATTGAAGGGGAAAGCAATCAAAACTTGAATGCATTGCATGCTAGTGGTGACCTTCCCCTGCAGCAGAGATAAGGAATATGCAGTCCTTGCAGTCAGGGGAAGGAGCCGATTTCAATGCAGGACCAGGAGATGACTATCTAGCTGGACATTGCTTGTGCCACGTAAACCTGCTGGGGGTCAGATTGTTCCCAGTGTTACAAACCTCTATCATTCTCTGGATGCTAATAGGCCTTATCTTTTAAAGTGAATCTTATTAACTAGGAGTGGACTTTGCTGCCTGTATTGTGGCCTTTAAACCTCACTTGAGGTTCTTCTCCCTCAAATGTACTGGAGAGGGTTTGACAAGGCAGAAGAAAAGAAAGACAAAATGGTTTCTTCCAGTGTGAGCTGCTCAGAGCGATGGGTGTCCTGCCAGCCCCATGGCTGGGTGCTGCTTCAGGACCAGCTCCAGGTTTTCTCTGGTATGATGGTGGGGACCCAGGGTGGTCTGGGAGTTGTGCCAAGCTCTCTGCTTCCTCTGTGCTGCAGCAACCCAGGTCCATCACACCTGCAGGGCCTCAGTAGGGTCCCTACCAACTCCAGCCAAACCAGCTGGAATGCTCTTTCTGCCTAAGTTGGGAGCAGGAAGCTGCCCTTGCTCCACAGTTCCCCTGACTGGTTCAGAAGAACTCGGCAGAGGCCCTCACAGACCTAACATACCTCGCAGCGGCTAAGTCCACTGTATTGAAGTTGCAGTTAACAATGATGGGCTACAGCTAACCTTCCTTGCAGTCCTGTGAGCAGAAACATTACAAGGGAACTTTCTGGGCCTTTGATTAGTTAATGTCTATCTTTGTAGGAAGGCTTCTGTAGCAAGAGCAATAATTAACTGAAGTCTTGGTACAGGCGATGTCTGTTTCACACCTGATCTGTGTGGTTCCTGGTAAGGCTATTCTGTTCCCCAGGACAATTTGGACCACCAGCCTGTGCTCCCTGTGCGGCTGCTTCCCCCCACTATTCCAAGAGAAAGCATCACATTTCTCTTGGGAAAGGGAGCCTCTGGTCAAGGGAAAAGGACTTGTCCCCTACACTGGCGCCTTGTCCCTTAATGTTCTGTCTGTCTTGCCAGGCTGTCCCCCTCTCCATTGCATGGGGAAGGAGAGCATTGCGGGTGGAATGCAGAGAGTACTGAAGATGTCCTGGTTTCTTTAGGTAGCTATAACCTGCTGGTGTGGAGTTGGCTGATGGGACCACCTGGGCCTCTTTAACAAGCTTGGCTTCTCAAACAGCCGCTCCAAGAGCTGTGATTAATGGCGATTTGTCAGCAGAGAGAAATGTACTGTCTCTGCCTTGCCAGCAAAGAGCTAGAAGGGAGGCTGGAGGCTTGGCTGCCTATTCCGAGGTTTGCAAAGCTGCTTATCCCTGCATGCTTCTCCTTCCTGCGCATCTCGCTCGGCGGCCAGATCGGCAGAGGGCACTGCGTGTCCATGAAGGGAGGGGAGGTCCTCTCCACTCCTCCAGCTCCAGGGCCAGCACGGACCAGCAGCTCTGACCACCAGGCCTTTCCCCCAGCTCCCTGTCAAACAGAACCAGGCTGCGGGGCTGCCTCCCTGATGGAGAGATCAGGGCTGATGAAGGAAATCAGGAGTCACTCAGTGAAATTACAGGCAAATTTAGATCAAACAGCAGGAAATCCGCTCTCCGGCAGAGCAGAAGAGCCGCACTGTGGAAAGCGCTGGTCTGGCAGGAGGTCATCCAAGACAAACACAGAGCTGCCTTCTGGGGTGGACTGGCTGACCGTCAGGATGGGCAAGAGCCGCGGATCTGGGCAGGCGAAGCCCTCAAAGCAGTTTTGCTTTGTGCTCTGCTGCCGTCACCACAGGCGGCCAGGGAGGAGCTCCCACCCTGCCTGAAGTCTGCAGGGTGGTACCCCCAGCCCGCACAGGGATCAGGAGCCTTTCCCACCATAGCCTGAGGCAGTGGGATGGATTTTTTTCATTAGAACAGGATATTTATCAGCCTGAGTGGCATCAGCATGGTCCCAGCTGGGTTTGGTGCAGATCATGTCCTCCTTGGTGAGGTGGGCTGTGGGGGTCTCCAATGAGAAAATTTGTGTGCAGACGTAGAGGTGATGTCCCAAAGGGGATGTACCTGTGATGTCCATGGAAATAGCTGCTTGCTGGAGTGAACAGGGAGCCAGATGCTGCCTTTTGCATTGCAGTAGCTCTGCAAGTTTTGATGCATTAGTGACTTCTCAGTGGAGGTCTCTTTGGCTGGAGAGGCAGCAGTAAGGATCTCATGGACTTTCTCGGGTGATATGTGCTGCTGTCTTTCATGGGGCAGGAAGGGAGAGTGAATTGTGGAGTGTCTTCTCTCCAGTTTCTTTGCTGATTGAAATCTGGGCTTGTCTGAGAGATCTCACCCATGGATAGTGATTTGGCAACACTTGGATGACCACCCCATAAACCCCACCTGTCTCTCTGGTTTCTGCAGGGCAGAAATTACAGCTGAAACAGTGGTGAATCTCAACAGGAGAGCAGGTTTGTGCATCTCCAGGCGATATCTGTGTGTTCCAGCAAGCCAAAGACTTCACTCAAATGTAAGTTGATATATTTCTAGCCAGTAGAAGTGATTGCTCCCTGGGAACCTGCTGTGCAGTTCATTTGTTCACTGAAACCTTTATCAAGAGAGTGAATGTGATTTTCCAGACTTCTTGATGTCCTCGGGAGATAGCTTGAATGGAGGCTTTCCAAGACACTGCAATCTCAGCTATTGCCCTTTGACAGCCGCAAAGATAAAGATACATGAACCTTCTGCTCAAGGAAGCTCCCTCCTTTTGCACTGCTTCCTTGAGATTAGCATGCAGTCTGCTACTTCACAGCCTGAGGCTCCGTCCCCTGGAGAAGCAACTGGAGTTTCATGAACAGCCTTAATCACCCATGAAAGTACTCTCTGACTTGTTTCTCCTCACCCACTTGGAACAAGGGCTTGTGTGGAGGTGTCCGAGCTCCACACAAGTGTGAGAAAGCATCAGGGTGGAGCTGGCTGATCTGCTCTGACTCAGAAAGCAAGAGGGATGGATCTCATCTTGTTTAGACTATCTAAACAAGTAGCTGTTGCTCAGGAGAGATAAGAAGGCTGAGCTAAAACGATGTTCCCTGGCATGATAACTCCTGAAACAGTGGAGCATTTATACAGGACTGTAAAGGAGCCAGGAAATGCCACCAGCCTAGCTGTGAATGTCCTGGTGAACTTCTTGGAACCCACAGCCATAGTCTCAGCTCACTCCCTCTGGCAAGCATCAGAGCCAAATGGGAGAGAGGTCTCTAAGTGGGCCCTGCTGGGGAGCTCAAGGCTGCACAGACCTGAGATGAGAAGGGCATGTGGCAATCAGCAAAGGTGGAAGGAGAAGTGAACTTCAGTGATCTCTGGACCATGTCCATCCTGCAGGCTCTCCAACCTCATCCCCCACAGCTTCTTCTGGGAGAAGGAGCTGGCCTTGTCAACTTGCCATCAGGATGCAGTTTCAGAGGCTTTCCTCAGATGAAGTGTTGGGAAGGGTCCTGGTTTGGTAACCCAAATTTATGACTCTTGGACCTCAGAAGTCTCAGAGTCCTGGGGCTGACGAATGCAGATGAGACCTCTGTTCACCACAGGCAATCTGCTGGTACAAGTGCTTCCAGAAGCCAGTTGTGCTTTGTCTTGGAAACGGTTGGGTTTGGGCTATTTTGTGTCCACTTGTCCTCTTAAGAGAGTGCCTTGGGGACCTTCCCTTTCAGTTGTCAGGAATGTGCTACAGATTTCCAGCACAAATGTATCTGTGGCTGGCTTTTTCCTCATTTGTTCTTGAGCCAGAGGACAGTGCTGGCACAAACAGCTCTTCTCCCTGCCTGTACTCTTCAATGTTGATTTGAAATAATCTTTCTTTGGCCTTGGGTTTCAGAGGGATGCATTTCAAAACCAGAAATAAATGGGCTTGAAATATTTCCCATAATTTTGCAAGATCTTGACCCTCTTATAGCAAGATTAGAAGAAAGATAACAACAAAATCAGCATTCAGGCTGGAACCACTATTGTTAAATAGACAACACTGTAAAGCCAGTACTTCTTGTTTACAATTGAACTCATGAATTTTTAGATATTAATGTATGAGGGATTGAGTAAACAACCATTGTGCCTCTAAGGAATGAGTCCCAGGCTGTCTTGAGCTGGAATACTTTGTACTTTCCTGATTGCCTTCCAAGAATTTCAAATTACTTTGTAAGAGAAAAACAAGCCTGCTTCACAAGACGTTTGCAAGGTTCTCAGGACAGCCTTAATTCCTCCACACTGATGTGGCTGGTTTTGGGGCAGAGCTTGGCAGCTGGGTACCGTGGGATGCTGAGCATGTAGGTGTTCATAGAGATGTGAGGGCTACACATGAAGAATAAACCACTGACAAAGGGACATGTGGGCAGGGTATGTCCCCCCGTGCCCTGGAGAGGCCATACTGTGCTCTTCAGGGAAGCTGCGGACCATGTTTTATATACTCCTGGGCTCTCCAGGATTACCAGGGTGTTTCTGATCATGGTCGTCCTGACACCACAGGCTGTGGTGCACTTGCAAATTGTCCCTCATTTCTGGCTGTCCAATGCTGAGCGAGTGCTCTTCAGGAGCAGCCAGCCCATTGCCTAGAACCCCTCCAACCAAAAATAAGACTTGGGACAGGACAGCAGCCTGTTTGATGTCCCTGCCAGACCTGGGCTACCCAAGTGCCATTTGGCTAGTTTCTGAGCTGAGACCAACAGCCAGAAATGGAGACAACTTTCTGCTGATGCTGGTGGCTGGGGATTGCAGGCAGGATATGCAGCAAAGGCAGCCAATGGCCTGGCAGCCTTGAGGTGTCCCTCTCAGCCAGCCCAGTCTTGGGCATCATGGCCAGCATTTTGGTAAAACAGGCAGGATGGGTCCCTCGCTACCTGGGTTGTTCTTGAGTTTGGTTTGCAAGCCAGCAGCCTGGAGCTGTGGAAGGAGTCATGAATTTAGGTTACCAAACCATCTGCTAGCTGTATTTTAAAAAGCAATTAAAGCAAAATTGTTTCCAGCCCTTCTTTTTGCAAGATGTAGTCTGAAGAGAGATAGCCAAGCCAGGATTTGCCTGATACTGCCGCAGCTCCAAGTATGAGTTAATTTGATCTAATCCTCTGCCATGCATACTGGAAAGTGAGGAGTTCCCTACTGAGGTTCTCAGAAAGTATTCAGGTAAACAGGGCTGCCATGATTAGGTTTGAATGCTGGTAAAACCCAGGAAAATGGCATTTTGATACTTTTTTTAATTATTACTTTTAATAATAAATTATTAAACAGAGTGAAAAAAATATAGGAAGTAGGAATACTTTTGCATGATAGAGGATGACAGCATGTTGGCAAAGACTGATGGATGGCAGGTCTAAGTGGTGTTGGATCGAGCTGCTAAAGTAATGGTCTGGGGAGCTCTTCCTGGGGTACTGCACAGGGTAGGGGAACTGGTGTGGCTGGATGGGTGAGTCGGGGCATGGGGCCCTTGAGAGCCACCTCTGTTTGCGCACTGGCTCCCAGTGACCTCTCAAAGCATGAAACTTTACTTTCTTCCTTTTCCCATGCTGAAAGGCACGCAAAGAGAGCAAAAAAGGGGTGGGTATGAAAAGAGAGGGTAGGATGACCTTCTTCCTTGTCCTCCTTTGGTAGCTGTCACATTACCAAAACAAAGAATAATCTTGTGTTGGAGAGAAAGGTGAAGCCATGCCTGGTGGTGAGGGGCATATACATAGAGGATGTAATATTCTTTCCTACGTGTTTTTATGTCTGCGGGGTTTTAATTTCTGTTCTGATGAGAGGTCATGCTCAGGAGAGATGTGGAAGTGACTCCTCATGATTCATGCAGGGCATGTGTCTGGGGACACCCTTACACCTGGGGACTGCTTGACAGCCAAAGATGACAGGATCAAGACTCCTTTACAGACAGCAGGGGAAGTTTGCCCTGGTGCTTCAGGCAGTGCTTGGTGGCAAGAATGCCACTGGTGCCAAACCTCTTGTGACTGCCCCTGGGTGCAAAATAGAGAGAAGTGAGGTCTGATGTTACAGAATCATAGAATTGTCTAGGTTGGAAAAGACCATGAAGATCATCCAGTCCAACCATTAACCTAACACTGACAGTTCCCAACTACACCAGATCCCTCAGTGCTATGTCGACTCTACTCATCACCCCCAGGGATGGGGACACCACCACCTCCCTGGGCAGCCCATTCCAATGCCTAACAACCTGTTCTGTAAAGAAATGCTTCCTGATATCTAGTCTAAACCTTCCCTGGCCCAACTTGAGTCCATTACCTCTTGTCCTATCGCTTACTATTAGGTTAAAGAGGCTCATCCCCAGCTCTCTGCAACCTCCTTTCAGGGAGCTGTAGAGGGCGATGAGGTCTCCCCTCAGCCTCCTCTTCTCCAGACTAAACACCCCCAGTTCCCTCAGCCGTTCCTTGTACGACCTGTGCTCCAGATCCTGTACCAGCTTCGTTGCCCTTCTCTGAACATGCTTGAGTCATTCAGTGTCCTTTTTGTAATGAGGGGCCCAAAACTGAACACAGTAATTGAGGTGCAGCCTCACCAGTGCCGAGCTGAGATGGGCCAAAGCATCTCATTTTTCTGGCAGGAGAAGGTAACATGCCCCACTCCTGAGTCTTGGAGAGGGTGGGATGAGATGAGACGAGATTGTGGTGGCTCATGGTGTTGGGTTGAGTCTGGGGACTGCAGGATGCCATGGGGACAGCCTGGCTTGGCTGTCACCCACCACCTATGCCCTGCCATGCCAATGACCACCTGAATGCAGGATGGTTGTGCATTGAGGGGCTGCCCAGGTCTCACATCTTATTTAAGTGGGGGAAAAGAAACCCAACAGGCTGTCAAGGATGCAGGAGAGGGGTCTTCCCTGATAGGCAGAGAGGGTAGCACAGCAGCAGGGTCCCAGAGAGAGGTCCCTCAGGTCCCTCCACTGGGGCAGCTGCTTGATTTACAAGAAAAAAGCCCCGAGTGCAGTGCCGGGCCGAGCCAACAGCTTATGTAAGATCTGGCAGCGGGTCTGGTGGTGCGGAAACCCAGCGGGCTGCCAGCGGGGCGCAGTCGCCTTTGATTTTCTCCTGTTTGCTCAGCAGCTTTCATGCGGCGGGGGAGCGGGGCGAGGGCACGAGATTCCTGCACACTGAACTCCTCTGTTTCTCTCAGCAGGATAAACAGGACATAAAACAAAGCCCCGAGCCAGCCCTCGCCTCAGAGGCAGTGTGCTGCCAAATCCCCCGCGGGGCAGCCCATCCCCTCGAGAGCAGCCACCCCATCCAGGGTGCCACAGCCTGGGATCCAGGGAGGTTATGAGGGCCTGCCCAGGGGGTTTTCTGGGTGCTGCAGCCATTTTCGTGTCTGGGTGAGTGTTGCCCTATGGCGTTGGTGAGGAGCAAGCAGGAAAATGGGGGAAAAGCTCCCTGGCAGGGCTCAGGTGGCAAGTCCCATGGCCTTGGTGAGCTGAGGATGGGTGCTCCAGAAGTGATGCCAAGCTTGACACTGTGTGGACACAGCGGCTGGGTGTCCCCTGCAAGGGTTTTGCTGTGACCTGGCTGCCCCACAAGGCACAATCCCAGGCAGCAGGACTGAGCACGATCTGATGCACCATGGGACGCAGCAGGGCAGGAGGTGGTCAAATGCTGGTTCTCTCTCTGCAGTGGGCTCTGTGCATGGGGTTTCACTGCACTCTTAAAACTGTGCTGCTTTATTTATAACTTCCCCTAAGGAGTAATTTCCAGGCTCTCTTGCCCCTGTGCTGGGTCCCTGTGAGTGACAGAGGATGATGGGGCTGACCGCAGCCCTTTCCCAATGCAGTATTAGCTAAACTGTCTCCCCAGAGATGTGCCAGGCCAAGCCCATGCCAGCTCCCCTGAATTTCCACAGAGCCATGACTTCACCACTGCCAGCCTGCTGCATGGCAAGGTGAGAAGGCAAGGAGCAAACACTCGCTGCTGGGGTTTGAGAAACTTCCAAGAGTTTCAGGTGGGGGTTGCTCTGGAGCAAAGTGTCCTGTAACACCTTGAAGTCACTTCGTTGGGGAAAATCATTGAGCAAGTGTGAGGCTGCAGCAAAACTCCTAGCAAATGCTATTGATGCTAAAGCAACATGAAGGGAGGATGCTTTGGTGCTGTTCCTCTGTCCTAGTTGCCTGTTGTGTTGGCTACGGTGGGTGGTGAGGACCCCTCTCCTCCAAGGCACTGCCAGTGAGTTACCCTGTGCTGCCCTGTCCCAGCCCTGCCACGCTCCTTGTGCTGCTGTGTGGAATGGCATTGCCAACGTCTACTCCCAAAAGGAGAAGCTTTGGCATGGGACAAAGGTGCCTGGGCAGCAAGCTGTTTTCCTGGCTGGGACCTGGGGACTCTGAGCTGCACACATAGAAACCCATTGGAAATACAGAGGTAGGAAAGTCAGGTGCTGCCTGCTGCAGCACTGAGCCTGGGAAGCTGTGCTGGGGTGGCCTTCAGGGTCCCTTTCATCTGCCCAGGCGGGAAGAACAAGCTGGTGGCTGGAGCTGCACAAGGGCTGGGGTCAGTGAAGGCTGGGGAGGTATGTGGGTCTGCCTCCTCGTGCAGCCGCAGCAGTCTTGGGCAGGGCAAGCTCAGGTGCCTGCTCCAGCTGCTGGTTTGTGGGTGCTGAGCACCCCTGCAAATGCCGGTGGCTGTCAGAGCTGAGCTGTGCTCCTCCAAAACCATTGGGATCTTGGGTGGTGGGGATGCAAACCCTGGGGCCGCTTATCCAAACCTCTTGGCCTGGAGTTCTGTGAGAGCCAAATTTCTCATAGGATTCCCACTCTGGGCTTGATGGGTTGGAAATACTGCAAGAGCAGCCCTTTTCTGTTTTGTTTTGTTGCTTTTTTTTCCCCCCTGATGTTTGTGTCTTTCCACT